ATAAGGAGCTTTGCTACTCTGCTGAATTCTCTAAGCTGCCTTATTCATCCAAATACACATACTAGCCCATTCAGTAACTTATAATAGTTTATTTCAAACTTATACAACACCGATAAATACAAGTGATATTAGTAAGGGCTACAAATATGGAAAGGAAGGTGACTGTTACCAAGAAAGTAATGACCTTTAGGCAAAGAGAAGAGAATAAAATGTACATACAGAAGTCTCGGAGTACTAGCTACTATCCTGATGCTATAATGCTTCACAGCACACAGAATCTTTTACCCAGATTCCTAAGGTCACTGAACATCAAAAAGATTACTTTCTAAAAGGAGAATTGGGTTACAGCCTGGAGATGGTTACATTTAAGGCTCTTTCATGTTACATTCCCTGCCCCCCACCCATGTTCATTTTATAGTTCTGGGCATATACTGGAGGCTTAATAAGTATAACTGACTTCATTTGCAAAAATGAAACATTCAACCCAGCCAGTTCCCAGGGTAACCAATCAGTCATAGCTCCTTCCCAGTAATCACTTCATTTTATTTTTGACAGAATTTTACCTTAATTGACACATTTTCGATCTCAAATTCTTCCTCCATGGATTTGATTTTGCAGGATCAGCAAGGGAACCTTAACTTTACTAGCTATTCTTTTGAATACTGATCATATCTACCCCTTAACATCTATGGCATACTCATCACTTCAGTGTGCTACCTGCTTCTCAGTGATGCCTACAGGGCTACGGCGTAAGATCAATCCTTTGACATTGGGAACTTAACTAAGATTAATGGTTGAAGCTTTGGAATAACTATATATTCACTATTATCATAAATGATAATTTCCTTAACTGCTAGAACTCAGCTTCTTTAGTTGTGGAATAAAAATTATGTGTCTCTGTGTGTGTGTGTGTATGTGTGTGTGTGTGTGTGTGTGTGTGGACTAAATGAGGTCAGTTACATCAAAATACCCATACCACAGCATTAAATATATTCAGTGAATACTAGTTCTTTCTCAACCCTTCATTAAAATGACTGCAAGATTTCTGCTATTTTTACACTCTACAAGAAAACAGGTTTTAAGACTGAAATGACAGTACATGAGTAAAGGCCTCGTCACGCATGTGGCTAAAGACTGGTTCAAACCCTGGCACTGCATGTGATTCTCTGAGCACTGTTAGGAGTAAGTCTTAAACAGAGGCTATTGTGGCCACAAAGCCAAAATTAAAATAAAATGAAACTGATTTTATCAGTCCTGATGTATCCATCACATCCTCCAGAACGGCAATGGAGAAGATTATCCATGACTTCTACTCAAATCTCTTCGATAGCCATGTCCACTTGCCGACTTACCAAATTCCACAGGATGGGTATGTCGATCCCAACGTTCTCCCTTCCGAAATCTGACACGCCATTTCGTTGGTAAAGAAACAAACAGCACCCGGCCCAGACAAGATAAGACCTGAACACCTGAAGAACCTGCCGTCAGTACTCATCAATACACTGGCTCGGCTCTTCACTCGCTACCTGTCTGAATGCAAGGTTCCGTCCCAATGGAAAACCAGCAGGACCGTACTACTGTTCAAGAAGGGAGACATCCATGACATTGGCGACTATTGCCCGATCTGCCTATTGTCTGTCATCTACAAGTTGTTCACTCGAGTCATCCTGAATAGGATTGGCAGAACACTAGATGAAGGACAACCATGCGAGCAAGCAGGGTTCTGCAAAGGATTCAGCACCATCGACCATATCCACACGATAACCAAGCTCATTGAGGTTTCTCGGGAGTTCAAGATGCCGCTCTGCTTAACGTTCATTGATTTAAAGAAGGCCTTTGATTCTGTTGAGACGGAAGCGGTCATTGAAGCCCTAGCCAATCAGGGCATTCAAGCCCAATACATCAGGATCCTCCGTGAGCTGTATTGCAGATTCACTACCAGGATCTCACCATTCTACAAAGAAGTGATCGTTGATGTCAAGAGAGGGGTGCGTCAGGGTGATACCATTTCACCGAAACTCTTCAGTGCCACCCTCGAGAACATCATGCGACGACTGGAATGGGAAGGAATGGGAGTGAAGATAGATGGTTGGCAACTACACCACCTCCGCTTTGCTGATGACATTGTTTTAATAACACCAAACATCAACCAAGCGGCACAAATGCTGGCCGACTTTGACCGTGAGTGTGGAAAGGTAGGACTACAGCTGAATCTTACGAAGACAATGTTTATGAGAAACAGCCTTGTTCCTGACGCCCCATTCGCTCTCAATGGAACGACCATCTCCGAATGCAACAGCTATGTGTACCTAGGTCGAGAGGTAAACATGACAATTGACCTGGCACCCGAGCTGCGCAGGAGGAAGAGAGCAGCTTGGAACGCCTTCAAGAACGTCGAAGAAATAGCTAAGTGGATGAAGAACCTCCGGCTCTGGGCACATCTCTTTGATTCCACTGTTCTTCCTGCATTAACATATGCCTCAGAGACCTGGGCCCTACGCAAACAAGATGAGAACGCCATTCAGGTCTCCCAAGGAAGAATAGAAAGAGCTATGCTTGGAATATCACGTTTCACTCAAATGAGAGAACGAATCCGGAGTTCTGACATCCGTCGATGATCAAGGATCAGGGACGCTGTCTCATTTGCCAAGGTGTCGAAAATCAGATGGGCTGGTCACGTAATGAGATTTAAAGACGACCGTTGGACTAGAGCTGTTACTGATTGGATTCCATGGGATGTCAAGAGACCGCGTGGCCGCCCACCTACCGGATGGTCAGACTTCTTCGTCAAGATCATGAACGATCGGTTTGAGGCCCTTCATGTTCCCGGAGCAAACAGATGCCATTGGGCTACACTAGCACGTGACAGGGACAAATGGAGATGTTACTGGCGTCCGCTCGAACAACTCGACAACTAACGGGAAGTTAAGTGATTAAGTGATTAAGTGATTTTAACGATCACAGTGGCTTCCTTTATCATCGTTTACATTTTCTATAATTCATACTTGGAATACTCTGACAGCATAATAAAAGTAAGTAAAGTAAAGGCCCTCCCGTTGATCGTCGATTTGCTCGAGCGGGCCCAGTAACGTCTCCATTGGAGACTCTGTTGTTACTGTGTCTGGCATATCGAATACTCTCGGTAGCTTGCCGGGCTCTCCGAGAGGGGTGGAGGAATCGAACTCGGGTCGGCCATGTTGGCTGCGTGCAAGGCAGACGCCCTTCCCGCTGTATGTAATGTGTTCCAGGGTGTACAGGACTCTCAGTTTCCAATAATAGAGTACACAGATCCCAGAATTGAGTACAGACAAAACCCTGACAAAGTCCTCCCAGTCCTGAAGCTAACTAAGTAATTAATCAGGGAATTCCCTGAACCTTGAATTTTCTTGCACTGATGATTCAGCATGACACTAGTGAGTTTAATAGCAGACTGCTTTTAACTGAAGGTCACTGACTTTTTCTTAGAGTATCAGAACATACTATTACAAAAAGGGGAAATTGAATTTTAGCACATTCTTTACATATCACTCTTATGTTTGCTATTTCAGAAACTATTCTTATTAAAATGATTACAAGACTCTGAAGACTAGAGAAATGCACATATTGACATAAATGCATCACCTAAGTGTTATTATATACAAACAGACATTTAGTTATACATTTTAGGCTAAACAAAACTGTAACATCATTTAGGCATTATGCGAACCAAGTCATTTTGACATAGAGAATTAAAAAATAAAATCTGTATTCGAGTAGTTTTTATTAAAAATATTACCAAGATTTAGCAAAATGCCTGGTAAATACAGGCAATCAATAAATCTTTGCTAAAATATTAATGGGTTAAAATCTTAAATTTTAAAACAAGCAAACTCTGAATATAATGTTGCTCTGTGTTGCCAAGAAAGACATTGGATCTATAATAAACTCAAATCAATACTTTTGTAGTTTGTACTCTTTTACAAAATATCACAATGATCCAAATCATTATTATTTTCATTCAGAGATGAAATAATGGAGTGGGATGAAGTCAATAAGTCTAGATACCCAACAGGCATGATCAGTCAAGAGTTATAATGTTCAGCCCAAGATAGGTATATTTTCATATATTTAATTTTCATTGCTGGAGTGATAGCATAGTGGTAGAGCATTTGCCTTGCACATAGCCAGCCTGGCCGAGCTGGGTTCGATTCCTCCGTCCCTCTCGGAGAGCCCAGCAAACTACCAAGCTACCAAGAGTATCTCACCCGCATGGCAAAGCTTGGCAAGCTACCCGTGATATATTCAATATGCCAAACACAGTAACAAGTCTCAAAATGGAGACGTTACTGGGCCTGCTCGAGAAAAATCAATGAACAAATGGGAGGACAGTGCTACAGTGACAGTGCTAATTTTCATATTTTAATTTCCCTTATTGTTGTTGTTGACTTTCTAATGAAAATTTATCAAGAAGGGAATCTTCAAGACTAAACCTGGTGCACACTTGCAAGACCCAAGGACAAATAGTCACATTGCTGAGCAACTTTACACTATTATTCAGACAAACACCACTGGACCCTTCAAACAGTATGGAAGAAAAGTAAGACAAAATCAGTTTTACTGCAGCAGCCCCTAATGACGATGTGCTCTCCAATTCATGAAACGTTTTATAAAAGTTTCATTTTCCTCCTATACAGTATATTCCAATAAAGTGAAATCAAGATGCAAGAACAAATCATTGCACATTAGAGAGAATTATAACTTGACAGATAATTAATAAATTATATAAGTACATATATATATAATTTGAATCTTATCTTTAGTTGCTGATTCATTCAATACAATTCACAAATTTAGCAGTATACTCAGTTGTATGTTCCATTAATTACCACCATTTTGGTATAGACTGACTGAAATAATTTTAAATTTCCTTGTATTAAACTGTTCTGAGAATTTTCCATAATTTCACTCAAAAAAATAAAACTTTGCAAAATGTGAAATGCCATTGTCTATTGAAGACTTACCTAAACCAGACTTTTTTAATCGTTTTAAGTGCTGACTTGTTTGTTTTCCAGTGGGAGATTTTTGCCCATGTTTCATTTCTTTATCTGAACTGTCTGCTTCACCATTTTTAGATTCGGATCCTAAAAAAGGAAATGGTTATTATGTCATTATCTTCCTCTTGCTGTCTTTGAAAAGAAAAATCTAAAATTGTTTTTAAAACCATAGATATAATCTCCTTTTCAAAGAGTTAATACACTACCTTTGGCCACAATCTGATTCTTCCACTGGCTATAACGAAGAAAAAGCCCAATAAATCAATCAAAGAGAACAAAAAGCAAGAACAGATGGCCTAATAGTGGAGTCAAAAACACATTCACTGATCTGATAGTTTTTAAAAGAAACACTCAGCTCGTGTTTAAAAATACACAAATAAGCTTCAACAACACTATGTTATTTAAGATGATGCCAGACAGAAACAGAGAGATGAAGGAAAAAGGGTGATTTGGAGAGAGAGAAGAGATCAGACCTTTATAAATAACTATGTCCAAGGCAGAACAGCAAATGCAAACATCAATCTATAATAAATAGAATGCTATATAGCTGATAAAGTGATAGAAGGAAAATTAAAAGAAAAGGTCAGGACAGCACTGAGGTGAGAAGAATGTTGCCAGAATAAAAAAAAAACTAATAAAGGATTCCTGGTTCTGCAGCAGAGGACCGGAAAAACAAATTCACACTCACAGAAGAACTGCTTTTGATGGCATTCCACATCAGCATGTGGTCCACCATTAGAGTTCAACATCCAAACAAAAGCCAAAAGTAACAACATAAACAATTCACCTAGTATTACTTCAGTTTCTTAGGTCTACTGACATTAGCAAATGTAGTATTTTGATGATGAGTAAGCAGCATTAAGCACAAAATATCCTATTATTTTTGATTCACTGAAAAGACTCAAAAGTAATAAAAAAATTAAATCACGTGGAAATAGTATTCAGTTTCTGATAAAATTCCTGACATTTCTGTCAGTGAGGAGATCTTCTCTGGGAAGAAACTGGTCAAGCATAAGATCATTTAGGTTTTGTGTTTTTTGTTTTTTTTTTTTACCTGAAGGTGAATCCGACTGCTCATCTGACACCTTTAATGGTGTCAAAACAACACGAGGAACAGTCTTGTTTACCATCATTGAGACTCCATTTCTTCGTTTCTGCTGCTGTCTCAAAGCCTACAAAACATGACAATAAGATATAAAGACAGAGTCAAAATTCTTTCCCTTGACTGAATTAAATGATCCAGTTGCCCATCATTACAAAGAACTTCAGAGACTTAAATTGAAGAGACACTAATTTATCAGAATTCTTAATAGTCACCTTTATGCCATTTTCCCTGAAAAGCTTAAAATCAGACTTTGGCATAGGGTAGAAGCCTGAGAACATTTTCGATATAATTCTGAAAACAAAGCAGCACTTCAAGATTTATTCTACCTTAGCAGTGTGGCTTGAGAGCTCAAGGAATTTGAGACCATGACTCCCAAGTAAAATGAATGTAAAATAAATGTTTCAAGACCAGGATAAAAATATATGTGTCTGCACTTCTCTTGCAGGTGCGTCCTCTCCAGTGCACTGCTCAGTCAATCAAGTTAACACCGAGTGTCATCAGTATGTACAGCAGGTAAGGACTACAGTATTGATGCACTCACTCAGCCGTGGGGAGCGCTGCACAAAATCACTGAACATGGCAGGAATCATTTATTTCTGTGAAGGGAATCAGTCCTAATCTTGGAAACCTTGCAGCACTTGGCTTCTGTCTGCTTGACTTTGGGCATTAACCTTCAGAACACGAACATGACGGCATACTGGCAAATCCAGGGAAAAACTGATATGAGAATAAATCTCCCCAAATGGAAGTGCTTTGTGTTTCATAAATGAGTCAAGCATGGTGATGATAATGTAATAAAAGGCATTTAAAAGTTTTGAAATAGAGCTTATCAAGCTGATCTCTTTATCCAGAAAATTACCTGTAATAAAAAAGGGTTTTCTAAAGCACATGAAACTGAAGAATCGTTAAATTCACAGTTACAGGAATACTAACACACCTCAAAAGGTTAAAAGGCTGACCACAGATGGTCTCGAACCTTTTTATTCCGGGATTTGTGTCATTTTTGCCAATTTTATAACGTTTTAGTTACTTGATAAATCTTTTTCAACCAACAGCTTTCACAAGCTTCTGAAATACTGCCTGACTGTATATCCCCTTGCTGCCAGAAACAGTATCTTTTTATTTGCAAAGGATATAGCTGAAAGTCCAACTTGTTGATTGTAAGATTTAGAAATCAAATAATTACAGAAGTGAAAAATTAAATACCACTTATAAGAAGGTATTTTCTGATGAAATTTAAAGCCAGATAAGAGAGTGAATGGTTAGAAAACCTCTCAGAAAAGACACTGGTCCTAATGGCAGGACATTGTCTCTTCAATTATTCTATTTATTGAGCTTTCATAAATTACCAACTCTGTGTGCATGGAGAGGTGGACAAAAGATAAAAAGATGAAAAAGATGCCATCCTCCTCACCCTTAAATTGCTGTTAACATTTAATGAGAACATATGTTCCATAACCTAAGACATTTATCCTTTCTTTCAGAAAGCTATGCATTTTATTACATAAATCTCTCTAGCCTTGTGTAAAATCAAAGCATTTTAAAGACATTAACCTATCAATCCATTAATTAAAAAATAAGGCAATACAGTGAGTTAAATTACAATTGTCACTGTTCTCCCGTTGTTCATCGATTTGCTCGAACGAGCCCAAATTACAATTAATTCCATTTTTTCCCACAATGAAAAACTATGAAAAACTCTGAGACAGGCTCAGGGCACTGCAGAGTTGGGCGGGTATGAGCACTCTCCATCCCAAGGGACCCAGACCCAACAGTCGACCTCCACTATCCAACCACTGCCATGCTCCAGGCCACTTCCTAGAGCACGCGGCTGCTTCATAAAACACTTTCTACCCATTTTCCACAATTACCACACCGTATTTGATGGGGTTCAGACATTAGGCAACAAATCATAGAGAGAAATATGTATATACATAATATTTATATAAATATAAATAAAGCACTGTAGCACTGTCCTCCCATTGTTCATTGATTTGCTTGAGCAGGCACCAGTAAGGTCTCACAACAAATTGTGAACTTTTTGTTACTGTTTTTGGCATATCGAATACGTCACGGGGTAGCTTGTCAGGCTTTGCTGTGCGGGCAAAATACTCTTGGTAGTTTGTCGAGCTCTCCCAGAGGGGCAGAGGAATAGCTTGTCTGAGAGCCCGGCAAGCTACCAAGAGTATCCTGCCCGCATGGGCAGAGACTGGCAAGCTACCCGTGGCATATTTAATATGCCAAAAACAGTAACGATAACAGGTCTCATTCCCCTGACCCTGAAAGAGCCTTCAATTGTTGGGAAAGATGAGTAAGGAGAGGCTGCTAAAATCTCAGGGCTGGGATGAATAGAGACATTACTGGCACCTGCTCGAGTAAATCAACGAACAACGAGATGACAGTGATGTAGTGATACAGTGATGAAAACGTCACAAAACAATAAAATCTATACAAGACGTGATCAATTTTTGACAACCTATCAATACTCATGGATTTTAAATACTTTCCTTGATAATCTAAAGTGACATTTTAAAGAGAGTCATGAGCCATAAAGATAGAACATCAGATAAGGTGCTTGCCTTACACGCAGCTGAGCCCAGTTCAGTCCCAGTATCACATACAGACTAAAGCATCACCAAGAGTGAGTCCTCAGCAATGAGGGTGTGGCTTCCAACCAAAATGTTAAAAAAAATAAAACCTCAGAAAACCACATTCATTTGCTGTTAGTGTAAAGGTGTCTATTTTAGAGAACACTTGTTATAAAAGGTGAAGATAAAAACATGAAAGATCTGGAAGTTAAAATCATGAAATCAAAGATGGCATGCCTTTTTTGGAGAATTTGTGGTAGATAATTCAGGTCAATGTTTTTCTTCCATTTTTTTATAACTAAGTGGAAAACTCAGTAGCTGAACAAATGAAATAGGGCAGAAATAATAATAAAAAACAATGATAACTTCATTGTTCTGAATTTTAAAGTATGAAGTTGAAGTCAAGCTAGGGTGAAAGAAAGATAAAAAATACTGAGAAAATTGTTTCAATTATCTTTCTTTTTTTCTGAATATGTATCATTTCCTACTCAGAAAATATGGAGGCTATAATGTATTTCTTTCCCTCACCAGGGTCTCAGGGAGTGGCACTGTGAGGGGTCCGCAGACCCAGGCAGTAGCACCCAGAATGAAGCACTGGGCCTCAGACTTGTCCTGGGGCTTTAAGTCATCTTCTGAATAACGACATTTCTGTTCCCTTTTTGGAGGGAGAGGGGGATGGGGAGGGGGGGAGGGCACACCCATAACGGTGCTCAGGCTTATCCCTGCCTCTGCACTCAGGGATCACTCCTGGTGGGCTTGGGGTAGCATATGGTTGGCTGTGCCTTACCCACCATACTATCTGTCCCCCCAATAACAATATGTCTTAAAACAGCAATTTTCAAATAATAAAACAAATCGCTTTGTGCTGGTAGGTGAGCAAAACTAAAAGCCCACCATATAAGAAAATATTTGAGGGTCTGGAGAGCTACTACAGCAGGTAGCGTGTTTGCTTTGCACACAGCCAACCCAAGTTTGATTCCTGGCATGGAATTTGGTCCTGGGAATACAGCCATCAGTAATGCCTGAGTACATAGCCAGGTTGAGCCCTGACCACTGCCCCCAAACAAAAACAAAAACAAACATAAAAAGAAAGTATTTGTGTAAAGAAGATGAGATTTTTCTTTTGCCTCTGAAAAACAGCTGTAATATTGGACTCTGAATAACACTTCTAAGGGCAAATAATTTAAAAGACAGGATTACTTTATTTCCTTTATACTAATCACCATAGAAAAGCAGTGGGTTACTGGGTAAACTGGGAGGTCCATCTGAGTTCTACTATAAGATTTATCTGATCACATTAACTTAGATCTATAGTCATTCAAGATGTAATTTTAAAGTACCTTGAAGCTTCTAACTCACTACGCAGGAAATAGAATAATTTGAGTCTGTAAACTGAAAGCAAACTCTAATCCGGTTAGAGTGAGCATGGAAAGGGGCAGGAATGCTGACTCAGTGGAGATGCTCAGGTTATTCTGAAGCAACTCTAAAGCACTCTGTCACTTCTGTCCACAAGACAGGACATCTATCAGTTCTTGCCTTAGATTGAATCCTGGCCTCTTGTAGTGTCTGTATCATGCACACGAATAGGTCAGTTCTAATTTTCTTTTCTTGCTCATTACGTAAAACCATTTAATTTCTGCACCAATCAGTATATCAACCACTCAAATGTAAACTGCATACCTCCTCACAATCTCTAAAAAAACTGTAAAGGTAAAGGTAAAGGCCCTCCCGTTGATCGTCGATTTGCTCGAGCGGGCCCAGTAACGTCTCCATTGGAGACTTTGTTGTTACTGTGTCTGGCATATCCAATACTCTCGGTAGCTTGCCGGGCTCTCCGAGAGGGGCGGAGGAATCGAACTCGGGTTGGCCATGTTGGCCGCTTGTAAGGCGAACACCCTACCCGCTGTGCTGTATTAATGTCATTTGGACCACAATGTTAAAGTAAGACAATGATGCACATATTCTGCTTTGGGGGTTAGGTGTGCTATAAAAGAACTACTCAGGTGAAACAATACGATCAAGAGCTGTTCGTTGAGCTTTTCTACTTTTAAATAACAACAAAAAATATGCAGAAATTTCAGGCCGAGGCCACTGGTCTTTGATGCATACTAAACATCAATCCCAATGCTCCTCATCTCTCCAAATAAAAGAGCATGACCAGTGCACAATAAAGGGATAATAATCTTCCCATTGGGCTAAACCTGGCTCAATGCCCAACACCACAGTCTCCTGTTTATGAAGCCCACAGAGTAGCCCATGAACACCTTTAGGTGGAACCTGAAAACCGCAAAATGGGCAACAAAAATTTTAAAATCCCTTTTCTAATATGCCAATCTTCAGATGAATAGGGTGTGCTGCAGAAGTATCTTTTTTTTATTGAATTTTGTTTTGACATCATGGTTTACAATCCTGCTGATGGTAAGGTTTCATACATAAAAGGTTCCAGCGTCACACCTTCCACCTGAGGGTCTGCTTCCCT